CTCTCAGTGTTATTAAACAGTTACCAATATCTCTCAGTTACCAAGCTGTTTCCAATTTACCACTCAGTTACCAAGCTGTTTCCTATTTACCACTCAGTTACCAAGCTGTTTCCTATTTACCACTAAGTTACCAATATCTCTCAGTTACCAACATTTAGCAGGTGTTACCAAACAGTTACCAACTTTTAACCAATGAGTTACCAATTTACCAAGCTATAAAGTTACCACTTTCAATGCGAGTTTAATTATAGGCCTAGCCTACCAAGTACTAACGAACCAAACCGCCAAACGAAATCCGAAAAAACACATATTGGCGAAACATTGGGAGTATTTAAAAAGAAACTAAAAATTCGTGTCTATTCAGCTGTCATAGATTGAATAGATATATAACAATTTTATCACCGAACCGGTTATAATAGGCTACAGTAATTTTACATTTTTCTGCTGTCAGATAAAAACATGACCAACCTAAAGTTCAGCGGCGGCGCCAGTGGGGGTACGGGGGGGGGGGCGAAATTTGCCCCATCCCCTAGAGAAATAGTTGAGTTACACGTAAGTAGGTTAGGCCCTCCCCTCCTTCAAATCCATGTGTGTCTAGAATTATCTACGTTTGAATGTTAAAATGACGACTCGTCTTTTCTTGAGACTCTGCCATATATAGAATATACATCTATAGAAATAGTGAGTAAAATTCCTAGTTTGAGAGATTTTTAAAGGAATTATCTGATTTTCGTACATTTCTAGTACTTCTGAAAACTAGGAATTTCTATTCCTATTTCTATAGATGTCTTTTCTATATATGACAGTGTCTCAAGAAAAGACGAGTCGACTTTTTAACTTCCTAACACGGATAATTCTGGACACACATGGATTGAAGGCTAAAATTTTGACAGTGAGTTGTGAACACTATTACTGATTGGCTTAGCTAAGAAAACATCCCTGTTTCTAACACTAAGGTACGTTTGTTTATAAAATGGCTTACCTCTCCCCTTACTGACATATGACGAATAGGGGTGTGGTTTGGACACGATGCGTGTTACATAGTTGTCAACATAATCAAAAATTTTAGCCCCGGGTTATTTTAATTACAAACTTGTTACAATCCTGACTTCAAAGAGAGGAGATCATGGGATTTAAAAACGTGTTCAAAGCAACTTGAGATTAAAGAGATTGTAAAAAAATTTTTTATGTGTATCAGAGACACTGATAGCATCAATTTACACCATTCTAATTTTCAATCAGATGTCTGTGGTTCTTGTTAAAGAGATTGTAAAGAGGTTTTCTAAATTTTTTATGTGTATCAGAGACACTGATAGCATCAATTTACACCATTCTAATTTTCAATCAGATGTCTGTGGTTCTTGTTAAAGAGATTGTAAAGAGGTTTTCTAAATTTTTTATGTGTATCAGAGACACTGATAGCATCAATTTACACCATTCTAATTTTCAATCAGATGTCTGTGGTTCTTGTTAAAGAGATTGTAAAGAGGTTTTCTAAATTTTTTATGTGTATCAGAGACACTGATAGCATCAATTTACATCATTCTAATTTTCAATCAGATGTCTGTG